AGATGATCTCATCCCCGAGTCTTACATCGGTTAACTGAAAATAAAATTTTAACGTACAATACTATAGGGTGCAACATCGTCGTAACTTAACACTGCAAAACGTGACATCACTATAATGTAATACTACGAGACGTGACATCTCACTTCCAGGCTCTGATTAATTTATTTATGGCGTATTTTCATGTATGAAAATATGGGGTGTAACAGTGCTGCCCAGATTACTATTAGAAGATATTTCATTATTTTCTTTCTTTCCCTCTCCTGGTTTTCTTAAGTTGATGGATAACGAGTCAGAAAAGGGTATTCAACTACTAGTAATCTTTCTAATTAAATGCTGCATGTTGTTATAGACTGATTACTTCTGTGATTCAGTAACTTAAGTCAGTTCCTTCCATGAACTGTTCTCGATTTTGCCATGTGTTTGTTGCATCTTGGTCATATAGCTATTTTGCCAACAGTTACATATCCGTGCTAAAACTCTGGTTGGTATGAAAATTAGTGGGAAAGAGTGATTTCATGCTGTAAGTTATAGACGGAGAGAAATATATTCATTGAAAGTTTTCTGACGTAGCTCTCAGCTCCTTTTGTAGAGACATATCTATGCAAAAATATACTCTAATAACATGTTTGTAGCATGGCTGTTAAATCTGACTTGAGCAGTTGAGTTTCTTGCTAGTACATCTGGAATAGCCTTGATTTATGGACCTTTGTACTGTATCTCTAGTGAACCTTACAGTTTCATCTCTAGTGAACCTTACAGTTTGGCATGACCTATCTCTGTGCTTTTGCCTTCATATTCCTGGAGGCCAAGTGTTCAAGTATATATTTTATGTTGGAACATTAAGTTTATTCTGAAGATTTTCAGAAGCTAAACTTATTATTTAAGTTTATTAAATTTGTTACATTTAATCTTAATGTTTCATAAATATAGGCGAGAAGTAACAGGAATGTGGCAAATCGAGCTAAGTTGAAGATGCTTCATCATATTGGTAGCAAGCCTGTTCGTGAGATCATTTATCAAAAGGTATTATCATGAAATTTCTGTTTTCCTAATGAAAAATATTTATGAGCTGTTATTTGACATGTTTGCCTTTGATGTAAAGGGCAAAAAAGATGGCAACCCACCAGATTTGGCAACAATTTTCTTTAAGACCCGTAAGAAAGATAACAAGCTTGTTGAACCTGAAGCAATTGAAAAACATGTATGTTTGGTAAATTGAATATGTAAATTACTTTAAATTATGGTGGATTCTGATTTTAAATGTTCTTTTTATATATTTTGTAGGCTCAAATCAAAGAAATAATTCAAGCAGATCCATCTCTACCTAGCATAGAGATTGTAGAAAAATGTTGTGGACCTCAAACTCGTAGCCATGTGTTTGGATTTAGGGGTGGAGTGAAGGCGAAAGACTTGAAAGGTGGAACTTCTTCAAAGGCTGAATTACTGTCCGCGCTACGTTCAACTCGAGAAGAAAACAAATCTTTGAATGAGGAAAACAAATCCTTGAATGAGCGCTTGTCTACCTTAGAAGATGAGATGAAAGAAATGAGGAAAATAAGAGAGTACTTTGCTTCTCAACAATCATATGTCCCGCTTACGACGACATCGACCGTTTCAACTGAGTGACCACTGTTTTTGTCTGCTGACCAAGTTAGTAACAATATACCCAACTTTTTAATTTTTATTCATGATTTACGTATAGTCTATTTTTATATTACAGATTTATTTGACTTCACCCTTCTAAAAGGAGAATGTAATTAATGTACAATGGTGCAGTAAGTAGTCATAGCTTCCTATGTAATTTCAATCTTTAAGCAAAGAACTTATCAAATTCGAGTCAGGTTCAAACTCATGACATGTGCCTACTCCACACATCACGCACTACTCACTAGCGGTGTTTAAATACTTATATTAGCTGTATGGAAACTAAGTTATCACAGCAGTAATGTTAGAAACAAGACGTAGATCTTATTTCTTCAATTTAGTTCTGTGCTACTGCAAGTCTGTAACAAACCAGAGCATTGAAAATTCCAGCAGCTGAAACTACATATAAGTCTTCACATGCTAGAAACTGCAAAATCTCTGCACGAAAATACATAAACACAGAGGTGGTCTACCTTGGAATTTTTATATGTTCCCTTGCCCGAGGAACATATTAACTTTCAAAACAAATTGAAATAAAGTGAAATAGGCACCAATCCAAAAAGATAATGTAGCCCGAACCACGGTTAGATTCATCATATATCTCCTAGCACCAGTCTAGTTGGTCAATAATGTGGGTAGAAATCAAAAGAGACCAAGATCAAATTGCATCAAAGATAATAAAACCTTAGGTGATTTCTTCTCATCTACCTAAATCTTGATGAATAGAGTTTTTCGATACCTGCGTTGGTGGAGTTAGCAGATATCTAGTAAAATAGTCAAGGTACATACAAGCTGACTCGAACAACATCATAAAATGAGAAGATTGTCATAAATATCCAAATCGTAAAAGAAAGACCATCTATCCACATTATACACAAGGTCCCCAGTAGTCCAGAATTTCAAATCAAAATCATACAAGTGACAAGTTGTGGGAAGGGAGGACCACTTGCTTTTAAAATAAATGCTTTCCAACATACAAAATGACAAACAAATTATAGTGTCACAACTTGTAACACGATAGATGGAGCTGCATATCGGAACATCCAGTAGACAATAAAAGCAGAGGATCTGAAGCATCAGAAATGAACATCCCCAACTGATTGTTGTAATCCAAGTATCATGTGCATTGAAAAGTCCAACAACCAATGGTTCATTCGAGTCAGGGCTGTTTATGATAGAGTACTCATCTGATTTATGAATTCTCCAAAATTACAGATGCTCACGGATAATTTCTTTGTGGTGTATTTTGAATTATATTGGTAGAACATGATTTTGAATGTCCCGTTTATTTGTTGTATGTCTTGTTTGTTCCGTACATAGCTGGTGATGTCTGTGCTCAGTAGAGGTAGATGATATGGTTCTCTTATGATTAAAAATACCAAGTTTATACAATGCGTCATATAGAGTCCTACCCTATTTTGAATGTCCCACCCGATAAGCTATAAACACATGTAGTTGTGTACCCAAGACAGTTATGTTCCTAGGATCATAGTTTCTTTCTTGTACCTACATCATAGTTTCTTTGTCGTACCGAGATTTATCGAACCAAAGTAAGATTAATCAACCCAAAGCTTTTCTAATTAATTTTTCTTATATTCTTGTAGCCTTGTTGATGTTGCTGGATAACACCTGGTGAATTTAGACTGCTTTTGGGGTAAGCGATTTAACTGTTGCTCATTTCAAATTATATATGTTATTTTACCAATAGTTATTTATCATTTTTTTAATCTTTTGTACTTACAGGTTTTAAAGACTGAAGCTACAAGTCAAGATTCATGTTTAGAATATGCACAAGCTCATTATTATTTTGCTAAATATTATACAAAACTTGATATCATAGTCTAGCTCAGGATGATAGCTATATTTTTTTGTTGAGGTGTTGATAAAACATAGAAAGTAACATCATCATGGGATTTGACCTTGATATCTGATCTTTTTATATCTAGATTTTTCAATAACAATTTGATATTGATTGATAAAACTTACTTTTATGGCATTGAGCTTTTAGGACTACTCATGGTTATTAAGAGACTATGACTACGATCGCTAAATTATAAAATTATTTTAAATAGTGACGTCGTCTCTAAATATAATCTAGGACCAGTTAAAGGTTGGTCGCGAAAATGGTAACGATGGGAATGACGACCAGGTTTTTTGTCCGTCTCTAAAAGATAATTTAGGACCAGTTACAGTTAGTCGCTAAAATGATTTAACGATGGGAATATATATATTTTTCATCGTCTATTAGGGACGAGAAATGTAATCTCTAAAACTTATTCACGACCAAGTTTTTTGTCCATCTCTAAAAGATAATTTAGGACCAGTTATAGTTGGTCGCTACAAAGATTTCACGACGGGAATATATAATTCTTTCATCGTCTATTAGGGACGAGAAATGCAGTCTTTAAAAGTATTTAACGACCAGATTTTTCTTCCGTCGCTAAAGTGATTTAATGACCAGGTACTAAGACACGTCGTTATTGACATTTAGCATCGGAGGCTATTACGACGGGTTACGACCAGCCTTTTCCCGTCATAATTTACCTTTTAGGACCAGATTTCAACCTTTAGGGACCAGAATTCCCTTCCTTAAAGGTAGTTTTTCTTGTAGTGGTTCCTATGAACCATCTACGGAACGAGTCCCAGCTCAAGGGATATTTTGGCCATCGGCCAGCTCGGGGACATCACCTGATACTTCTTCAGTGGCCTCTCCGGTCCGAAGTTGGACCGCGATGACATCAAGCTCCGGCTCGGGAGCCACCATCTCTACGACATGAGGGTTGATAAGGTTTTCCCTCCCTCGGACACTATCAAGAAATTATTTTCCCCCTTGCCTTCAACTCGAGGACTTCCCGCTGCTTCTGGAGTTAGGGCTGTCGGGTCGGCCTTAGATTCTTCCACCTTGGTCTTCTTGGATTCTGAAGGTTCATTCGACGGTTCCCTTTGTCTTTTCTTCCTTAATTAGGTCCCAAGGTACCCTCTTCACTAAGCGATGTTCTCTTCATCAAGGGGACCTCCCCCAGACCTACACGAATGCAAGAGGTAAGCACAGGGAGTAAGGACGCTATCAGTAGCAATTATGATTAAAATGTACGACTGCAACAGGGGTAAAGGCTCACCATGGTCCTTGGCTTCCCATCGGGCTTGGGACAGATCACGCCACACTCGCTCAGCGTATGGACAAATCGAGTCTAGTCGGCCTACCCAGCCCGAGAGGTCCGTGACCGCGCTAGGATAAATTGCTATGGCTACATCAGCAGAAGAAATTAAGCACGTGGAAATTAAGCATGACGTTCCATGTTCCACCTTTCGGGGAACGACATCCTTTCCACCGGGATCATGTCTGAAGTCCTAACGCGGACAAAGCGACTCATCCACCCTCCGTTCCCAACTTCTTCGATTAAAAAAAGGCCCTCGAAGCTCAGTAGTGGAGCTTAATCAGACGCCCAAGGAAGAGACGGGGGTTGTACATCCTGATCAAGTGATAGAGGGTGAAGGGTATCTCCTCAATCATGTTCACATAGTACCTGATCATGTAGATGATGCGCTAGCACGAAGGGTTAATTTGGCTAAGGGCCACTTGATACCATTGGCAGAAGTCGATAATCACGGGGTCTATCGGAGGCAAGGATGGCCCCACCGGCCCAAGGGTAAATGGGTAAGTATACATACTGAGGAAATCGGCCTTGTATATTATTATATCCTTCTCCCAAGAAAGGATATCCACAAGCACCGCATCCCCCCAGCAGCAATCAGTCCTCACCCTTTCAACGTCTGTTATTGAGCTAATATACTGAGACACAGGCTCACGATGCCCCGTCTTCGAAGAGGGTTTCTCGACCTTCAAATCAGAAGTTGTTGCAAAAGATCCTGGAACACATTCCTCAACATGAGGAGGCGCTACCGCTTTGCCTTTAGATGGAAGCAAAGAGGAGGAGGTCACATTCTCGTGAGAAGCAGAGGCGGAAGTTTTCGCCATTCCTAAAAGATTTCATAGGAGAAAAGGAAATTGCGTTTAGAAGAAAGAACAAAAGTCAAGGTAGAAGGAACCTTTTTGGGGGCTTGGTGGTGTAGTGAGTTATAAAGAATGAGAGAAGAGGTATTTTTAGAGGCCCACATGTGCGTTGAAGGAGGCCAAGGGACAACCAACCATTGTAATCAATAAGAAGACTTTCAAGGGTTGTGTGTGCGTGATCTTTTTGCACCTTATAACTGCTGTCGTTACGGAAGTACCATAGGGGCAAGAATTCAAGGTTGTTTCTTATCACTTTCACTGTAAGAAACGCGAGGACTATCTGTATATGGTAAAATCAGAGGGTCCAATTCTCCGTCGTTGTGATGCCTCGTAAGCACATTTCAGAAGTTCGAGACTATGGTTGACGTTAACCCCCGAGAGCCATCAACGCTTGACCTCGGTGCAGTGCAGACCAACGGTTATGATGAAAAAGTGGGGAGTTCCAAAGGCACACAACTAGAGCTGACAAAGTCTAGTGAGCTAAGTTCAGACCCGAATAATGGCATTAACTAGCTATCCCCTCCCTATATCTTTGTAATAAATATATTTGTACTATGTTGGGGTTCCCCCTTTTATATAAAGGGGATCATTGTTATTTTGTAAAGGATCTGCTACTCAATACAAAAAATACAAGAACATTCTCTCTGCTCTCTAACATATTCTCTTACCCACCATACTCCCATTTATTACTTACATTTATTGTGTTCTATCCATTGTTCTTCATTTATTGCTTATCATCGATCATAAAGAGCTATCATTTTAGCTCTCATAATTGTTAGTCCCCCCTTGATTGTCCTATGCCGGCCTCCAGGCTCGACCTCGAAGCCTCGTATATGGCAGCTCGAGGCCCCGACCTCCAGCTGATTGGTTTGACTATTACCTCGTGTTAAGCTATAATATGACCTTCTAATCTTTTTTCTTAGCATCCATTGCCTAACAACTAGCATAAAAATAGATCACGTATTTTTAGAACCATAAAATCAAATTTAATTGTTATTACCATTTTCACGGTAATCATCAGAATAAAGCTCCTGTCGGATTGTATATGCACCAGAGGTGCAAGTATTATAGTAGAGCTTCAAGGTGTTGATGTGAATTCCACCTATGTGGAATGGGAGGCATTGAGAGAAACAAAAGGTACGATGTGAGATTTAATGGTAAGTAAGGAGAAGACAAATAAAGTATGAGATACTCAAGTATAGGAGGTTATGAATAGTTCAGTTTTTAGATAGAGGGTTGGAAGCATCGTGATTCCATATCAAGAAATGATAGTGGGGACGTTAGTGGCACATCTTCTAGCCTATGGTTTCCAGGTACGGAGAGGTCTAATTAAGAGAGTAAAGAGGAGTTAAATATGATGTGATGTCTCTCTTGAGGTTCCAGAATAACATAGGGAAATGTATGGTGCTAGAAAACAAAAGGAATGTTGTGAGTACTATAAATAGATATGTGTAGGTCGCAAGCTAAAGTATAGTAGAGAAACAAGGTTTTAGGTGGACATGAGTAAGGACAAGAAGAGGTGATTAAGAAGGTGACGAGAATAGGGAAGACCTCAGGATTAAGCCCATCAAAACATGAGAGCTGATGGTTTCTGTGAGTTATATAAAGCTCTGTATAGCCTGAATGAACTCGAAAGAGATTAAGACTATGAGCATTTAGAAGAGATGGAATGCTGCCTTGGTAGTAGAATATGCGTGTAATTGTGATAAATGATAAGTGGATTATATTTGGGCCTTCGATTAAGTAATGATTTAGAGAAAAAGGGATTTTATGAATTGCAAAGGATTATAATATCCCCATAAGATGAGCTACATTGGGATGCTATGAAGTACGGTTAATGAAGTATTGTATCTTCCCTAGATAGATCAGCCAAATAACTTTAGTTGTTCCCCGATGAGACGTGAGCCCTAATGGCAATGTATTATGTAAGAGGTTTCAAGTTATCAGAGGTAAATTATACATCAAAATTAAGGTGAATGGACAATAGATGGATAAAAGTTCCAAAGTATGAGATGAGATTAGGTTGTCATTCTTAAGATGAATAGTAATGAGAAAGCAATAAAGGTCATAGTTTTATACATATAGAATAAGCAGTGAGAGAGTAACCTAGAGTTGGGTAGCAAACCTCTAAAATAATAAATCGAAGTAAGTGTTATGGTATAGTATGACCTACTTAGATACAGTAAACCCATAAGGATAGATAACCCAAGCTATGAAGAAAAATATAACAATAGTCGTAAGTTCGACAAAGTACCAAGAAAAGGACTTCAGTACACCTATCGATGTCCAGAGGGACAGCTTGCCATAGTTCTGTATATATAGAAAAAATAAGGCATAGAGATTAGCTAAAAGCCGAAGGAAATAGGAGGGAAGAGTCGCATAGGCACTCATACAAGGACAGAGTCGTATAGGCTGCATTACAGAAGGTATCAACTATTATGAGATTAGAAGAATTCTAACCACAAGTCGTGGTGAGAGAAAGCGGCCCAAAGCATGGAATGCCCTGGCCTTCGGATTCATTCACGAAATATTTGCCTAGATGGAAAGGACAATATTAATGTATTCATATGAGCTATAGCTTATGAGACTGATAAGTGCATCAGTCAACATTTGTGGACGAATGTTCCAAAGGGGGGAATAATGTTATACCCCATGTTTCCGTACGTAAAAGTACATCATAAGTCAATTGATGTAAACTCATAAATGAGATCATATTTGAAAGTACATAAGTAAGTTAATCATGTTAACTTGGAGATTACAAATATTTTAGATCATGGAATGCAAGTACCAAGAGGGGTGGAAGGCTTAGAAGCTAAACCAATTGAAGAATAAGTTTCGTCAAAAGTCGACAAGTTGGGGATGTTATAACATGTACTTTTGGGGTAAGACTGGGGTGCTCAAAATGATAAGGAAGTTATGTTATGAGTCATTTTTTGTCTTATGGTAGTTGTGCATTATGTTTTGAATTCA